TTGGAGTTGGCAATCTACATTACGCAAGAACTATCGCTATTTTAAAACAGTCATTGTCAAGTCAAGTCAACGGGATGACTTTATACACCTCGAGAGGTGGACAATATTCAGCAACCACATAACTACAGTGTGTCAAAAATAATTTTGAAAAACAACAACAATACAAAATAGCAATTGAAGGGCGTGAAAAAGGACAACAATATCAAAGACCAAAGTGGCATACTCGGGTGTTGATGATTGATTTAGTTTAGCACTTTGCGCAGATTTTCTGCAACGAGTTCATGGTTTGTAAGAAATCTGGCGAGATATGGGATATTAGACCGCCTTCAAGATTCAGTGCGTGTCTTTAGAAGTTTGTAAGTGAAACGGGCGGATGAGTGAGAAAGGCACTGACTACGGGCGGAATATAGAGGATGGGAAATATCAGATAAAATCTTGTTGGAAAATGTTTTACAGGACTTGATGTGATGTGTCACCACATACTGTACCAGATGTTCCCGTGGTATGAGACCACAAACTAACAGAAATTTGAGGGATCGGGAAATGAGTTTAAGGTCCTTGTTAAGAAGACCAGGGAAAATAACAGGGGATCCATAAAGCCAGTGAGGCAAAACGCACGCAAAAACAAAACGCTTTATGAGATAGTTTGGAATGGAAAGTGATTTAAGACGTAATATGTGAAACGTGAGCCTCCTGACCTTCAGAAAAACTTCATTAGCGTGGTCAGACCAGGTGAGGTTACGGCTGAAAATATCGCCCAGGTATTTGACGGATGGTTGTTGTTCAACCTAGTCACTGAGGATAGATAAAGGTGGGCTGGCGTTTGACAGTTCATCATCCTTTGCCCTTTCAGTAAAGAAAACCAATACTTCATTATAATTTTGGGGTTCGTGCGGAGATTCCTTTGTTGAGACCACTCAACTATTTCCGACACGTCTTCTTGTAGAGTGGTTTGAAATAATGGGTTACAGAAGGGCATTCTGTAGCCACAATGCAAATGCTGTATAGATACTACAAAATCCAATCCAATGCAGTGTTTGCTGAATGAGCTGCTAAATTTTCACTCGCCCATCGGCTGTGCTACAACGGAAATATGGATGCAAAGTGACCGTTTTGGATTATGAGATAAGATGGCTGAAATTTAAGCAAACTTCTGTCGTGAATCATCATTATCAGGACAGAACCAAGATGAGAATTTTAACCCAAACCCGGTAAAATATTCGCGTTCATGTTACTCGCCGATTGCGTTGAACAATTTCGCTGCCCTATCGCACTCGTCTTCTTTCTCCCGACACTCGCTGTCTAGCTTGTTGCTGGTGCGATTGTCGTGTCCAGTCGGGACGCTTGGGACAATGCTGTGGCTCGGACACAATCACGTGCCGAAGAACTGGGTCTTCGTGTGGTCAGTGACGACGTGATCGGAGCGTTGACTGGCAAATCCGGATTGTCTGAGACGCAGCTAACTGATATCCTAAAGAAACACACCATTTCAACATGGACGGTGAAGGTGAGTCGTTTCTTTCTCCTCGAATGGTCACATGATACTTCCACTCCACTTCTATTATCGATTTTGTTCTCAATTCTTATTCGGGTTTTCTCTCTGATTCTCCAACCCACTACACAGAAAAAGTTCGAAGAGTCAGCGAGTAAGTCTCATCACCCCAGCCCTCAAAATCTGGTGGCTTTATTTTTTTTTCTTTTTTTCCGAAGATTACTTCAGTTTGTTTGTCCATTGAGTTAACCAAATTATACTTGATAATTTGGTTATTTTTCTGCAACAGGCAGGTTAAGATTATCCCTTGTCGCATATCCTCAGTTGCATGGTGTGATCGTTGCGACACAAGAACGTAAGTTGGAAGATCAACATTAGTTTCAATGCGTTATCCTCCAACCGATACAAACAATATATGTTTCATGGCCTGTTTCTCGTTCGGTCAGGGGGCAAGTGCGTTTGATTGGAGCCGGTTTTTTTATACGTGGGGTCACTTCACGAGCACTGAAAGCCTCAGTGTGGTCGGTGTGGGTGTCTCGGGTTGTGACTGGTCACCATTCCCTTACACCTCGTTAAATGCTCCTATATGACCAAGCGTCTCAAATGGCATGCCTCTGGTGAGGAAGCCCTGCTCACTGCCTGCTCTTGGCAGAGTTGTTTTCTCAC